CTAACCAGGGTCACGTCGCATACGACTGGTCATTCACGGTGACTAATATTATTTTCTATGGTTTTGGAGCAGGATGGCTTTATAAGCGGAAAATTTAAGACTTAGTTTTGTCTTTTGGCCAACCGTTTTTCATTGCTTATTTCGTGGAGGGGGGAGAAGGACGTATAAGAACCTTCCACGCTCTCTTTCTCTCACCCTCTCCATACATCGATATAACTATACAGCTACAGCTGTACATAAAAGAGAAAAAAAGGGGGAAGTTTTAACGACCCCTGCATGAAGCTTCTAGAGGCCATTCAGCACTTTTTTTTGTTGTTTTTGTTTTTTGTCGCCACCGATGTAAGGGGATTAGACACAGATCAACTTCATAGAATCTTCCCCTCTTCAATTTCAGCTTACAAAAACTCTCATTGACTTGCCAGACGACGGTCATTTTCCATTGACGTTTCTTTTGAAATATACACATGTCGAATATCGGCTTCTAGGTGAAGTACCGCGACAACGAAAGTACAGGTCCTCAAAACATTAAATCGCTTGACTGGTCTTGTCATAGCTTTTATCTTAGAGGTTCAAATTCCATCCCACTTCTTCATATCTTCGTTTTCCTCATGTTTCCTCTTTTTCACTGTTTTCTCTGAAACAGTGCAAAACCCCACGCTTAGCTGAATCATCTTCTCTAAACGTCTGTAAATAAGTGTTTACATGCAAGTTAAAACATGTTTTAATAAAAACTCTTCCCCGAACTTCCACAAGCTTGTTGAACTGCTTTTGTTAGAGGGCCTCAATGGGGTTAACCAACAGGCGTAAAACGGCCCAAAATTTAGTCGATAGCCGTTAAAATTGAAAAATTTTTAACCGTTAGCCGTAAATATGGTAAAAAGAGTTAACCGTAAGAAAATTTTGCTCCTTAGATTTGATAATTTTGAGGAAGGCGCTAAACTCACTTTTGACCGGTTGTGTTTCTTACTTCGCGGCTAATTTGATTCCGTTCCATACGTTCGCGTTTCTGCTAGTATTGCTTTTCACGAAGATTCCTTTAAAATGAACTGTTATTTCTTTTATAAGGAGTCATGAGGAATGATGCTTTTCATGGCTCACAAAAAAATTTTAATTGACTGGCAATAGCTTAGCCTTTTTTTTTTCTATTTTAATCAAAAAGTTCATGCCATTTTAAGAGAATGAGAACACTCTTATTCGGCAAGAAAGCCGTAATTCTTAGCTTGGCTCCGACACTTGTAAATATGAGAGTCACAGAAATGTTCGAGTTCTCAATCTGTTTGCTTGTCCTTTTTTAGTTCATGTTGTACAATCTGTTCTTCAGTGGGGTAAAGACCCTAGTAAAAAGAGACGAGAGTAGCAAATTCAAAGCGACGCGAAGAACGAATCAGTAGCCCCTGAGGAAAAGAAAATCATGCCAAGATGCTAAAGACGGCAAACAGCTTGATCTTCTTTTTCACAGTTAACATTTCTATGCGTAAAATTATATTAGAAGTGCAATACTTTTAGATTAAAAGCATATGATATATCATATATTAAACATTTTCAAAAGAATAACTTATCTCCTCCCAAGATAATCGTAAGACATTTATTTTGCTTTAAAGATACAAAAAAATACAGGTTTATTAATATTTAACTCTTTGAAAGAAAAGAAATTAATTTTTAACTTTTTTGTTAACCGTAACTGAAAAAATAAACCGATAGCCGTAAAAGAGCCCAAACTTAAGCCGATAATCGTGAGAGACCCTCTTGTAAGTGAAATTTGAAACTAATTGTACAGTTTCCCTTTTTCAAACCTATTATTGGTTTGTTTTCAAAACTTCACTTCCAAAAAATCGTCAGGGGCGTTTTTCCGATTTTATTTGCTGTCTTTATTTAGATTTCTTTTGCACCCAAGTGAAAATTTTCTGGGACATACAGCACTTCTACTTTTCGTTGGTAGCTCTCGTGTCCAAGTAAACTTCTTTTCCAAATAACACTGAAATTCCACAGTTCTATTTTTCCAAAAGCTTTGACGCACCTGTTTTTCATGAAAATTTTCAATATTGCAATACATTAAGGTGATCCGGTACAGTTTCTGACAGAGTATACCGATATTTTTCAATCTCCACAAGAGTAATTTATGCTCGGCTAATCGCCATAAAGTTTTCACCACTTATTTTGATATTACCACGACAGCGATAAGCAAAAAAAGACGTGTCAATCAGTTATAGACGAATTTTGCGCGATCTAGATCTTTCTTTGAAAATCCAACAGAAAGAAGTCATTTGAACATAACGCTCCCAGACAAACGTCTTGGACAACCATCATCTCTTCATGCCCCCACCCCCAAACTCTGGATATGCAACCGGGCATTTGATAATTTCCTTTCACTCGACTCCACAGCCGTGGAATGACAAAATCCACTGAAAAATACTCCCCTTTCTACATAATACAAAATATTATCGGTAAAGAAAGGCATTTTTTATTGAAAGAATAAGTAATCCGAGGTGGCTGTTGCCATATAGTTTGCAAGGAGCAAATTTGTGCAACTCCATTTTTTCGTCCAGTGAAAGGCAATTTTAAATCTTCACTCAAGCATTGTCAAAAATCCTTTCAAATCTATGGTAATGTAAGAGTCTGTTTCCATGTTATCTTACGTACAGCACACATAATTTGAAATCGTTATTTTTCGTTCTTAGTTTGTTGATTGCAATCAAAAGTTCAAAGCGTAGACGCGTGACGTCTGTCGTATTTTACGTCATTTGCTTGCTGTTAATGTTATTAATTGTTTTCCTATTGTCTGATACGGAAGTAATCAGTTCGAGACTAGCAAATATGATCTTTTTCTTGGGAAAAAAACTCGTTTTAGTTTGATTTTGTACTAAATTAAATATGTAGCTGTATACCAACTTAGAACTTATTAGATCGTTTTGTTTTGTTTCGTTTTTCCTTCTTTTAATTCAAGGTTGTGTTCCCTATCATTGTATTTTTTTGTTTCCCAGATAGGTACATAAAATACACCCCCAATAATGAATTATCCAATTAATCTTCCTTTTTTTGGTAAAGAGTATTTCCTATTGAGAACAAAAAGCAAAGAGCTTAGAAACAAAACAAATCAAAATAGTCGGAAGAGAATCAAAGCAGATATTTTACGTCTTGCATAATCCATTTATCGGTTACGTGCGAACCAGCAATTTTTTTTATACATTTATTGCGTCTGTTTTTCCTTCTCTTTCGTGGTGAAGTAATGTCTGTTCATTTGATTTGCTCAAAAACTGCTCTTTCGTTGCAGGTCGAATTGAGCAATTGGCCATTAAAACTAATGGATGAAGAAAATAATAAAAAAATAATCTTAGGTTGCAGTAAATACCAGTTACTTTGTAACTAAGCTACCGCACGTTTCTTATTGAAAGTGACTTAACTCATTGCTCTTTTATGAATTCACATACTCTATTGCCCAAATCACTTCAGATTTACTTTTAATTAGCAGGATTTAACAACTACTCGTTCGATTTTAGATTAGTGCACTTTCATGAAAAGATAAAGTTGTTCACTGCCGTGTCGTGTTGTGATGTTTACTTATTCAATAAAGAAAAAATGATATATGATTTGATAAGTGGGTGTACGTGGATATTATATCATTTTTTAGTGGTATACTACGTACGCCTTTTTGTTAATAGCTGTTATGTCGAAAACAGCACATAGCACTTAGGACTTAAAGGGGTACATACAGTCAGAAAGCTTAAATAATCTTCATAAAACTACTCCAGAAAACGTCGCGAAATGAACCGAAAACAGTGAATTTAGTGATTTGTCATTGATGTGAATACTCTTAAGTTTTTTAAACGTCTTTATTATTATTGTTATTATTATTATTATTATTATTATTATTATTGTTGTTGTTGTTGTTGTTGTTATTGTTATTATTATTTTCTTCTTTATCTTAATTTACACTATAATACAACTTAAAAGCCGAGCCCATTCCAAGGGCTTAGGGTTAGAATGAGGTAGAAGTCTACGTGATGGATAATGCCTTTGTTAGAGATGCTCTAAGCAGTGTGATCTTCTGTAGTTCATGTATTTTGATGTTACCCGGCATCCGTAGTATATATTTCTCCAACCTTCCAACCAAAAATACCCTAAAATATTGTTAAAATATGTTGAGATCCGAGAGCAAAATATATAATTGCTTTTAGGTTCGGGTAGCTTTAGTCAGGTAGGATTTTGACACGACTTTAAAGCAGCACTATAACCTGAATCGCAGGCAAACGTAGGTCACGGAAGCCTTTTTGACTTTGTGTCCACTTAAATTCGTAACGACAAGAGCATAAGCGCAAAACTGAATTGAATGTAAAGTATCATTTAATTTGTAATGACATCGGCTGGAAACACAAAAGAAAGAAATGTCACGCGTGAAATATTGAAAGTAACATTTCTAATACAGTAAGGAAAAAAATGGATTTAACTATTTTTAAATTCAATGCGGCATCGAAAACGAATTCAAACCTGCTTTCAGACGTTATGCGGACGGACACAAATTACTTGATGAATGCTGTAAAGAAGCATGTGAAAAATTGAACACCTCCGCTCACACCCTTTTGGCTTTTTGGACTAATTAAAATGTTTAGTGCAATTTCAAGCTACATCCTGTTGCGAAATCAAATTATCTTTTTGTTCCTCGTTTTGAGACCATTTGTTTTATACAATCAAGTTGTTCGTTTATTCGGTTTATTAACAGGACTCGAAGTTTTGGCTGGTCAAAATGACTTTATCAAGACCTATATTTGTGTTAATACTTGTATTACACCTTATCTACCGTTTTGATCAGCACCGTAAATAAGAAAAACAGAAACATTTTAACAAGGAGCTTGTTCGTATTTGCATGATTCAGATTTCCAAAGCGATTTGCCTCTTAGTAGTAAAAATGTTTGTCTAAAAGGATTATTTTGTGTTTCATTCTAGTTAGTGTTTTCCCACATTGATTACTTCCATGTGATTGACAGTGGTGCCAATTTAATATCCGAAAATCCAAAAGCACTATATATGTCGTCATTTAACGGACAGCTTATATTAATTACTGCAACTCCAACAAAAGGCACGGGTTGACGACTCACTGCCACAAAGTGAATTCTATATTCGGCGGATGATCTGCTGATACTGATCGCCAATTGAGCAAACCTCGAAGAAAGATGACAAAAGTGGCCGCCTAGTTCTTTGTTTTCTGATACATGTTGATTTAGTTTTCCTCCCTTCCGACTTGGTAAGAAAATTTTTTTCTTTCCTTTTCTTTCAATTCTAGTTTTTTCCCAGAGGGTTTGTAACGTCTTTGAATTTTTCTTGCTTTTACATCTATTATTGAAGCGGTAGTTACGAGTATATTCTTAAACCTCGCTATACTACTCAATTTATATATTTTTGTATCCACAATAACCGCTACTAACTGACCTTTGAATGTCAAGATAACAGCGGGAGGCGATGATTCTTTGTCGATTTTCTCGAATTAAAACGAACTTTAATCAGCTTTAACCATTTTTTATTATGCAAAAAGAAGACAATCTTTTTCATCTATTAATCAACACTCTCGCCTGAAGGGCATATTGGCTACTATCCATCGTACAACTTTGTTTTCTCTGCCAGATGCTAAAATGCATAGCCTTGTCCTTGTACCAATATAGTTTAGAACGCACTGGAATATACATCTATGTTTATTCCGCACTCCATTTTGGCCCTTTCAATTAATTAAGGAAGAAGAGCTGTTATTGAAACAAATCGATTGTGCTGACCAGAATGAGCAGCTGAATAATTTAATATTTAATTTGTCCATAAAAATTAAATATAAAAAAACGTATCAAATTTACATAGATATATAGGAATACTTGAATTGACCGAATTTGGCTTAAACTATACCATAATTTGAAATTAGGTTCTAAAAATATTTTTTGTTGTTCCATGCAGTGCGATCTCAAAGAAATGACTTTCGGCTAAATTTTAAAGTTGGCGCATTCTCAGTCTCCGACGTCTTGTTCGATTCAAAAACACGACGTAGGAGCAAAAAAAGAAAAAAAAAAAGGTTTTCCATTTTAACGTACAAAATCTGTGATGTACGACTTTTCGTGTAGTGTTGTTTGTTTAGTGTCGTTTTTTTTTCTTTTTGTTTTTTTAAATTTAATATTTAGTCATCAGTTGATGGATGCGATTGTTTTATTTCACTGAACTACATAAAAAATAATAATTGTTTAATGTCATTGAAACTAAACTCGTGCAACTCATTGAAACTCGTGCAATTCAGTAGGCTACGTACATGGCGCAGCGACGAAGAAGGATCTTTATTTTATTTTATTTTATTATTTTGCCACACAAACCAAACGTAGAAAGTATTTTGTCTTTAGGCGGCTCCAGTAACAGACTACTATTCGATCCACTATTATAAGATCAGAAGATGTCGGCCTAACACTGATGGTGGCAGTAGTAACATCATAGTGCGTTCAAAGTAAATTGACACATTTATATCCACTGTGGATCACGACAGCCCCCTTTAGGTTATTGCTAAATCTTTGTAAGTGAAATCAAGAGAGAATACCCCATTCTCTCTTGGTGGAATATATTATATTACGCCATTATAGGAAGAAAAATACATGTATGTCAAAAAACCAATCGAGTTATCTTTCTTTCGCCATCATGGATTCTCTCTTGTTGTTATACATATTTTTAAAATTCATTCCTCCTTTTACCCTCAACGGGGGGAAACCAGTGGTAGCATCGCCCAATGTCGGCTGTTTTCTCAGGCTAGCTCTGTTTTGTTTTGTTTTGTTTTTGTTTTCTTCTAATAAAACACGCATGATAACGAGTGGAAGTCAATCATTTTTCCCCATGTGAGATTATCCAGATTCCAGAATCTGGAAAAATTTTTCCTTTTGGAATCCGGAATCCTGGGCTTCGGAATCTGAAATTCAGCTCAATGAATCAGGAATATCGCTAACTATTGGAATCCAGAATTCAAGTTCCACTGACAAGGAATCCGGCCCCTGGAATCCAAAATCCAAGACTGTCCTGGATTTATTGGCATAGGGCGAAAAATCGTTTTAAATCCAGGGTAGAGGCCCGGGGGGCCCGCCCCCCGTTACTTTTAGACCAAAATGAGGCTCGAAAGGCCAAAATAAATTTCTTTGAGATCGGGCTCCCACCTTATCTCAGGGTCTCGATATGGTACACAAATGTTTTATGATCAATAAGGGTGTACGATAATTATTTCTTGCAAGCATGTAGTCAGTCTGCAGACTTTACTACGTTTCTTTCAGTTGTCGATACTTCGATTAAGGGACATGTTTGGAAATTTGACAATTTTGGCAATAGGCCTTTTGCATTAGTTGATAACGAGATTAACTTTATGTAAACACAACAAAAGTTCGCTTTTAAAAAACTTTGTTAGCAGGAACTGAAAGAGCATATTAAAATTAGGTAACCTGTAAATTTTCAGCGCCGTATATTTCAAAAGTAGTGATTGCAACGGCCGCCGAAAACTAGAAGGATTCGTGTTGGAAAAACAACTCTTGCCAACCAGTCACGCTTAACTGGGTTTCCATACAGACTGTCATAAGCATTTCCTTAAGCATTATGGGGCTCAAATCTCTTTTTTATTTATAACAGGCAATTTGAGCCCTTAGATGAGTAAGGGAAAGATTAAGCGACAGTTAAATTTACAAGGATTTGTACACAATACCACTCAAGCGTGACTGACAGGAGTTGTTTTTCTTGTTTTTCATACAAATCCTTCCAATTTTCAGCGGCTGTTGCAGTCGCTCCTTTTAAGATATACGGCTGAAAATTTACAGGGCCGAGTTGTTCAAAGCTGGGTTAAGATAACCAAGAGTTAGTGCGAGATTTGAATTCAGATTTGAAAGCTTAAAAAGCGTTTCAGTCTTAATTCTTTTGGTCTACAAGTTAATGATTGGAAGCTCTAAAAATACCGGAGAAATTATATCAGAAAATGCTTTTGAACACAAGAAAAAAAAAACCGGGTTAAATTTAACCCCGTGTTAAGCGCTAATCGGCCTTCGAACAACCGGGCCAGGGTTACTAAATTGCTCTTTCAGTTCCTGCTAACAAAATGTTTCAAAAGCGAACTGTTTTCATGTTTACAGAAAGTAGATCAAGTGACTAACCATTGCAAAGGGCCTATTGCTTTTCTTCTATTTATTTACTTATTTTTGGTCTACCAATGACTTTATTATTGCTCTTTTTCGTAGAATGAATTCCAGCAATCAAACAACAACACCTATAAATGACGCCACACTGGCCCCTTTGCACTCAATAGGAACCAAATTTGGATTCACCCTAGCATACGCAACGATCTTTTTGATCGCGCTCTTCGGCAATTCTGTTGGGCTGTATGTGGTGAGTGCAAAAGCACCTTCGAAACGAATTACTTATCTGCTGATCAAGAACTTGGCAGTTGCTGACCTAATTCTAACCCTGACAGTGATGCCAAACTCTGTTTGGTTCATGTATTTCGATCATAACCGCTGGTTTGGTGGAACAATGGGAACTATCACGTGTAAACTTATATTCTATGCCATCCCTGTCTCCATCGCCGCTTCCGTAATAACATTGACTATTATCTCCATCGATCGCTTCTTTGCTATCTTTTTCCCTTTAAAGCTAACTTTGTTCCACAAACATAAAACCATCACTATGGTTATATGGTTCGTCTCATTACTCGCTGTTACACCATACCTATTGTTGTTCAAAGTTAGCAAGCCTGGAGACTATTATGTTTGCCAACCCGAATGGCCATGGTCCAAGGATCCCAAGGAAACATATCTCGTCATAAGAGCTTTTCACATTTTCGGCTTTATTGCCTTTTATGCACTTCCACTGTTAATAACAGCTGTAGTCAACTGCCTCATTGCACGTAGAGTCTGGTTTCACAAGTATCCAGGCAATGCCACCAGTTTCAACAAAACCTTGACAGAAGCAGCGAGGCGAAAAGTCGTCAGAATGTTAACTATCATCGTTGTCGGTTTCGCCCTATGCTGGTTACCTACCTACGTAAATCACTACTTCATGTATTTTCAGCCAGCTGTTTGGGAAAAGACTCCCATCGCGATCTGGAATTTCAATTTTTGGCTGGCGCATGCAAACAGTGCGATAAATCCTCTCTTTTACATCGCTTTAAACAGAAGCTTTCGTAACGCATTTCTGGATACTACGGCTGTGCTATTCGCATGTCCTATTCGTGTTGCAAATCATTGCATAGCCTGGTTTGCAGAGGAATCATCAGCATCGTACCTTTCCCAAGAAACGGAACATGTTGCACGACACAGACAGTGGAATGGTTTCCGCTCTTCAGGTAGTAGGTCACTTGGTCGAAACGGCACTGGAAGGACCCTTGAAACCAAGCTGTAATCCTTTAGAGCAATAATAACTATAATCTCCGTCTAGGTTATATCTTAGTTTTAGATACCTAAGTCAGAAATACAATATCGTTAGCATATTGGACTCTTTAGAAATTTCAATCACAAGTATGATTACACGCCAAATTGGACGACACGAAGATCTGTTACCAATTAATCATAGCCAATGTATTTTTCAAAAACACTTTTTTGTGGATGAATTGTTAATACCAAATATCCCGAATTAGGAAAATATCACTGGTACAGAGTGTAATCCCACAATTCGTTCATTTTGGAAAATCCCAGTTTGGTAGAGTAAGTGGTTGTTGCTATGGTTACTGTGATAAAAATTCTGTGATTGGTGGATTTAGCTGAGTGCACTTGATATGACCGGCTGATGTAACTGTTCAATCACAAGTGACCGATTACAACCCTACGCAATAATTAGCGAAAAATAAAGCAGTAAATGCCTCAATCATATTTCAGGAAATGCAGTGGTCTGCATTAATGGTCTGTTTGAGCAAAAATGGCTAGTTCTTCGTTTACTGCCTTGTCAAAACATCGCAATGTTATCCAAAGGTAATTGCTTTTAAGGGTGAAATTCAATCATCTCAGCTTGCAGAGGTCAGCGCTTAGTAAAGATCAAAAGGACAGTAAATATGTGAAACAATTTCTGAAAATTTTATTGGCGACCACTTTACAGAATTCTTCATAACTTTAAGATTTTACCATGTACCGAAAAAAGCAATAGAGCAATAGAACTTAAACCAGCCTGTAGGCAAAATATTTATATTATCGTAGAACCTTTTTGCCCAATATGTACGTCATAAGTATAAGATGCACTCTTAGCAAATATTCTGGTTCAGAAAATAAACGCTTCAAAGAAACGAAAAATTCATAAAACTGATATTCTATCTTGAAAGATTAAAGTTATCACCACCTAATGTTGCAAAAGTTTCCCAAAACTTCCATGAGACAGAAATATCAAAAGAAAATCTTCCCTTGGGAATATATAAGGTTGCCATACAACAAGAAGGTAACGAGTAAGATTTTAAAGTGAACATGTCCTGAACGAGTTATTGCCTAAACATTGCTAAACGTTATTTGTGGCATTAGTGTATCAATGTTATTAATTTAAACTGCTTTAATTGGTGCTAATTAAAAAAGAAAAATAGAAATTAAATAGACGGCCAAAATTAAAATGTTTTGTTGAATTTATTGTTTTGTAGTTATGCTCTTTCTCTCTAACTTCTCTGAATTTTACTACCAGTAGATTACTTTTATTTTAGCTGATTCCTGAACATTCTTACTACACGAACTGTCATGGAATATCGCAGTCCATTTGCTTATTAAGTTAATTTACGGGAAGTTTACGCAATGGAGTTAACTGTATATTAAATGAGTTTCTTACCATGTGGGCTCTACAACAAACAAACAGCTGCAATAGACAGATACAATAAGTCAGATAATTGAAATGAAACGGCGTCAAAGCATAAGGGATTCTTGAAAACTTTCAGAGTCTTAAACTGACTGAGACATGATAATGTCTCGTGTCTTGCCATTAGGAGACGTAAACATGGCGCCCTCAATTCGTGCTAAATAAACTCAAACACTGATTGCAGAAGTGTTTCTACTTTTCCCTCGAAATCAGTCTGCAGGAAATTTTCTTCTGAAATCGCCCATACCCACCTCAAAACCCCGCCCCCGCAAAAGTCAAATGGTCAGCTCCTTGAGCATGAACAGTGTGTTAACACAGCCGCTGTCCAGTTCTGTTGTTAGTTTGGTATCATCTAATCACCAAGCAAGTTTTTGTTGCCTTTGAATGACGTGTGGAATACTCGACAAATCGGGCGCTAGTTCGGTTGAAGTAATCAGCCTTTATCATGCGTGGCATGTCCTTGCACGCGTAAAGGTTAATAAGGGGCGCTGTCGTTAGGAAAGTTGTTTCTAGGACTTTTTAATCCAAAGGAACCTCACTGTAACTTACTTTTTCCCTTTTTTTGTCATCTACTGGTGCTGGTTGTCACGACTCAGCAACATTCTGTGACATTCCGGCAATTTCTTTATGCAGAAGAAATTCGCAATTGGCACGTTAAAATACACATTGATGATCATGCATAAATAGTATTGATAAAGATCAGTGCAGCGATGTTTTTTAGACTTGTGAACATGTATGGTTTCTATGGTTTGGCTTCCGACGCTGGTACGACTTTTACATAATACCATCAGCTAGCTATCTAGGTGATAGCCTGTTTCAAGCGTTCACTGATAGTAGACCCCGGGCGAAAAATTGACGGTAGACTAGAGTGGTGTAAGGGGGACAAGTTTGTAAGGGGAGGTTCCCTCGCTCTCGTTCCAGTTTCCCCTCGTTTTCCCCTCGTTCCCACCATCTAAACACCGGGCTCTACTATCTGAACGCCTGAAACGGCTATCAATCTGGAGTTATAATGTTTAGTGTTTGGCCAGGAGAAGTCACAGTCACACTTAGTCTGAATGGTTTTAAATGCAAACATTGCGTTTTTTGAGGGGAAGTCGTGGTCGCGCAGTAACAGATCTTGAGTGAAGTATTGCCTGTGGGAGGACTAAAACTGAAGAACATCCCCTTTTACAAAAAATGAAAAAAGTAAAATGAATAGAAATTGTTAATTTTGATGTTGTTTGGTGGTCATGTCATACTTTAAAGGTAAATCAGGTAAATGTTTTACGTGTCTTTTGCCTGTCGGCGGTTGGCTTTCAATTCTAACCTCGAGCGATTTGACACTGTGAGAAAATTGTTTCTGTCAGAAATTAAACTGGCATATATTAAGGTTGTTTTACCTCTGGTGGGCGTGTTTCTTTTTGTTTCTGGCTACTATACCTTCTAATAAAATTTGTTAAATTCCGCCAATTGATGATCGTCGCTCAACTCTGATCAGTTACTGTGAGAATCTGTCGAACCTCGATCAGAAACAACGCTTATTATTTACGGTAAAGACCTATCACATAAGTAAGAGTAACCCGCATCAAAACATACTTTTGCACTGCTTTTAACTAACACTACTGAAGAACCAACTTTCGCCTAGAAGGGTTAACTTTATTTTCAACGCTAAGACTAAAAGGTATAGGCAAGTATCAATTATAACTGTAGCATAGAAATCGTAATTTATCTAGGTTGCAGGTAAGGTCGCATGTATTATGTCCTCTTACAATCCTGGGTGCGTTAGGAAACTGTCGTTTACTTTGTTGACGTTAAAGTAACAAAGTGCAAGTTGTGTTTCCAAAATATCTTAGCAAATGTTGCACGATCAAAACGCGACAAGATACTGGACACTTGAACAGGAAGAAAACCAGCTAAACGTTATTAAACAACGTGTAAACAGGAGTGATATATTAGTGAACTTAACATGAAGACGTTTCATGACGAAAACAGACCTCTCTTCAAAAGAACAAACATGGTTTTCTTGTTTTGTTTCTTTGCTCTTTTTTTTTCTCACTTAAAGTTGAGAAAACTTTTGCAATTTGAAATTTGTGAAACTGTTTCAAAATATGCCTTATATGAAAATACATTTCCTTCCCTATATCAAAGGTGAACTTTGTCGATCTTGTTTTATTTTTCGTAATTAAACCGCTGCTACTAATTCTACTAATTTATTGCTTTAACACCACTACACCATACTTGATCTGTGAGACAAATCTACATGCATAGAGAGTCAAATTCGAGCAATTAATTTAACCAGCAGTTGGCCCTAGTAAAAACTAATTTTTCTTCAAAGATGCCGTAAGGTTATGGCATAGCCTTTGAGTGTGTGACGGGCATGACCTCAGAGTATTTAGGGGTAGTGGGAGGTAGTGAGTATTTACGGGTATTTAGAGGTAGTGCAAGCGGCCACCAGAAGCTAGAAGCAACTGAATATTCCTTAATTTATTTAAAACTGAAACAGGGCAGATATTCTTTTCTTATAGAATTATTAATATATGTATACCATCTGAAAATCTTTTGATAGTTTAAAGCGCAATTTGATAAAGGAAGTGCAGTCTAAAAGAGTTTCTACGATAAGCCTCTTTGCAGTCACCTCTGCCACCAGTTTTTCGTATACTTTGACTTTTTTTTATTTAGATATATTTATTTGCTTACTTATATTATGTAAATACTCGCTTTTTTGTGAATCAGTAGTATTTTTTATGTGAATCATTTACATTATTATTCAAAATTGCCACTGAAAAACCCCTATGGGCGAATGTCAATAAATTATTGTATTGTATTGTATTTTCCGAAGTTGAGCAAATTAAATGATTATTTTACAGCAGAAGTTGCTTACCAGTGAAACGTAAGTGTACCGAGGAAACCTTACCCCGAGCGATAAGTCGAAGTAAGAAAACGAGATAACACTTATTACCAATAGGCTACAACTATTAAATTGTTATCGATATCTGCTAAGTTAGGCCACGCCCAATGCTGTTTTACGTTTTAGTCTAATCCTAAGATTTCATTCATGCTTTATCGGTATTATTTTCAGTTTTGTAGACATGGTTTCTGAGAGGCTGATTGCGTTTTTTGCTTTTGGGATTCTGATTACTTTTTTGGCGCAGACCAAATCTGTGGAGGCTACTCGACGAGTGGTGATCCCTGTAGGTCCCCGCATTGTACAGTGCATGAAGAAGGTAGAAGAATTGAAAAAGCAAATCGCCTCTTTGGAGAAGTCCAAACGTAAGAAGCAATTGATTTTACTATATTGTTTTCTTTAGCTAAACATACTTGGAACTAAAGTAGTATATTTGTGTTTGTTCTTAAATATCCAACAGAATTTGTTACATGTACTAAGGTTGTGAGACAGGGCCTTATAATGGGAGTATCGTCCTTATTCAGGGGAAGACTAAAAAGTCTGTCATTAAAAACGAAGCGCTTTCTCCTCAGTTATTTAAAGCCCTGAGTGTTGGACCAGTTCAGGTTTTAACCAGCGACTTCGCGCTTGGTAGACCTTTGCTTATCCCATTCAGTTGACCAGGCGATGGGTTTTATTTGTTAAGGGAATTTTTATTCTCACCAACGAAAAATTGAGAGAAAGCCAGTGAAGCCCAAGAAGCACTAAGATAACGGCAAGTGCGAAAAAGAAATGAGAAAAATCCCTCTTATTTTAAATTGCTAGTCATGTTTTTCATTTGAAGAAGGTTTGTCGCATTTACTTTCGATTTATTTCACACTATACAGTTCAAAAGTCTAGTAGACCATTTAACCTTTGTGTGCTTTAAGCACAATAATAATATATAATAATATTATTGAAACTTTTGAATGAATGCGGGCTGACTTGCTTGACTACAACTATACATGCTTTTTGTTTTAGAAATTATGCTGGGAAAAATTCCTCTCAGCATAAGAACAATACGGTCTACTTAGAGGGAGTGGGTGTTTCAAAACAAGGTAAACCCCAGCCTTGCTTCCACGCCTATTGTCTCCCTGTTAGCTTGGGCTGCCTATGGAGAACCTAATTTTCAGTGTGGTATAATTCTTTTATAGAGGAAGGTTTCCTTTTTGCAAGTTCTACAGTAACTGACTACGTTGACGCTGGAAACTTAAGTGAACCATTGGATGCATTAACTTCTTGTGTCTGGATCAAATTTGAAGACTCGTCTCGAGATATGGAGTGTGTCTTCAGTATCCCATCTCATACTGAGGAGTTAGAGTTTGTACTGTTACGAGCTTATGGCAACCTCGTGTTAGCGACCAAAGGTCGACTTGGGTAATGGAAAACGTTTATTGTCATTATCATCATCGTCATCATCATCATCATAACCATCATCCTTATCGTTATTATTTGATTTATTTGTATATTTATCTTTCTTTTTTTGTGATCTTTTGGTTTTAGTGCTGTCCTAGTTTGCTGTCGTAGCAAATGTTAGCCGACATAAGGGCACTCCTGCCTCGTACACAGACGTCTCTCTCCCGATGAAAATGTGCGCGCAAAGGAAGGCGGGAAGGAGACAACGGGCGAGACGCGCTTCGCCTGCCGTCTATACCCTTCCCATGGTCCCTTGCGGTTCATCACCAGTCACTCGCGTTTCGCGTTCGCCTCTACGATGAGAAAAACGAAGCGCCTGAGGAGGAGGCTGAGGGCACTCCATACCCTTTATCCTCGGCTCAGCTCAACAATCAAACCCAGCAATTCTGCTTTTGTTGTTGTTGTTTTGGTTTTTATTTTGTTTTCAATCTGACGTAATCGTCGCAATTTGTGATAAAATTGTCGCATTCTCTTACAACACGGTTAATAGTCTTTAGGCATGTACGCATATATCTTAATCAGCCTGCTCATAGTGGACACACTGCATTTTACCTTTCAAGACATTCTGCATGGAAAATACTGAGTGCATTATAACGATTGCATGTCACGGAATCCGGATTCTGGAATCCGAGACAATTTTGCTGGGGGAATCGGGACTCCATGCCTTTGGAATCGGGAATACAGCTCAAGAACTCCGGCGAAATCCCACAAAAAAAAACTATTGGAATCCAGAATCTAAGTTCCGCTGACAAAGACTAGAACCCATCATTGACATGACTTCCAAAGAGCTATAGTTTTAGACATTAAACAATTATTGGATGAGGTTTTTGTGATATCCGGAATAATCAAGGTCGAGGTAAGTGTTATCAGCCGAAGCCGAAGGATGAGGCTCATAACACTAACTGAGACCTTGGTTATTCCGGATATCACAAAAACCGAATCTAATAATTGTTTTATTATACTTTAACTTCAAGTAATTTCTCAATTTCTTGGTGGGTCGATGAAGCGAATCGAGAAGCCATTCTTACTTCGCTGTCTGCGAACTTGACATTGCTGTCCGTGCACTTCACATTGCTCTTGGAAATCATGCATTGCGCACGCAACCTACAGATTATTCACTAATCACGGTAGGTACAGATTAGTGAATAATCTGTAGGTTGCGCTGTTTCCCAGAATTAACCGTAGGCTTTTAGCCAATGAGAAGACAGATGGTGACTACAATGTATAATAATTATGGTTAGCTCCTTTAGACAAATAACCCAGCACATTAGTTTGAATTTGCCTGTCTCACTATTACTGTCTTTGAACTGTTTATTATTTCAAAAGGCAATACAACGTCATTCAATTTGACGAATGGAGCCATTTCTGCGTTACAAGGGAATCTGGAACATGGAGAGTGTACATGAATGGAACACTAAAGGACACTTTCAAAAAACCAGGTAACTTGTTTCGCTTGTGAATAATCGTATCATTAAGCATCTGTGCGTTCGAATTCGAAGATGGACTGATTTAACTGTTGGATTCTGATCCGTGGGACTCCGCATGCCTTCTTTCCGAATTCTCCAGTGTGGACTTTTTAAACATGACCTTGAAATAACTGTGGAGATTAATAGCAGGGCGCCATTTACAGGTATAATTTAAATGCCATCACCTTACAAGTAGTGCTTTTGGTTATACCTAAAATGCTCGTGCACGAGTTGCTAAGAATCAGGGGCACCCAACGACGGTTTCCTCCTAAATACACTGAGAACACTATACGGGCTCTCCAGAGTACTTTTAGATCTCTAGAAGTGTATTCTAAGCGGCGCAATAAACTTTGTATCTGTTCGGTCATCCTAGGGGACCTTCAGTCTTTACGATATTACAAGAGCTACAGCATAACTTTCCCGAAAATCGAAGATGCAATTTAATGTATTACGAAAGTGAGAATTTCCCTGATTCCTAGCCCTCTCCATCACATTTTTAAATCCGAAAATTGTACGTTTCCTTTTTTCTAGGAAAAACACCCTAACCTGAGGAGCGCAAAGTGAAATTTCAATCAAACTTTAGAAAACCGTAGGGAATTTCTCTTAGATAAGCTTCTAAAATTGTACTTAAATGGAAGGGCCATCTAGAAATTTTTAGCCGTCCTCAAGTAATAGAAAATTCTAAGCAACATCTGCTTCTCCGCACCGATATTTTACAGAAAACAGTCGTTGGATGCCCCATGCATGAAGAATGCTCCCTTTTATGATCAATTTTGTTCCTCATTCACACCAAAGCTTTTAAAAAAATCGATCAGGAAGTTATTTAATTTAAAAAAACGTTTTTAAAACTGTCCTCGGCTTTGAACATGTTGAAGTTTCTTCCCGCAAATTGAATAGCGGCGCAATTAAATCTGACACAAAACAACTCTTAAAACATTTAATCCTTTTCTTTTTGCAGGAGTGATCGTCGGAGGAGAAAAATGGGTATACGGGCAATGTTACTTTACATTGGGAGAAAGTTTTCAGTCCGGTGGTGCCTTCATCGGGGAAATGGCAGGTATCAATGTCTGGGATCGCGCGCTGAGTAGCCAAGAGATCTCCGAGATTTCACGGTCGTGTGCTGCCAAGAAGGGCAACATTATTACCATGGCTGACTTAAACGTGATAGGAGGATTGCGGAAAATTCTTTTCTCTTGTTAATCTGTGTAAACTGGCTATCATTTTGGTCGGAAATATTTTTTGGGATAAATTAGACAGTTATAATCGGGGTACTTTAGTTTTTTGGCTTCAAACCATGGATGTAAAAGAGCTTTAATAAAGTCACATCATGTGTATTACCCTTTAAATAGAGCGATCAGTTAACGAGACTGCTGTGGAGAGGAAAAGGGAGTCGCCTCTTTCCACTCCCAGTCCCCCGCTCGGTTTGCCTCTTTCTTAGTGATTGCCCCTTTGTTCGTTCTTTTCCCCCAAAAGCATCCTCGGAGACCCATCGGCGGTCAGTCGGGTCGGGAAAAACGGCGGCAAAAGTTTTCGAGAACGGACAAGAGAACCCCTAGGATGCTATTCTTAAAAAAAAAAACAGTTCCACGACTCATTCGAAAGCGTCTCTGATTGGGCACAAAAACAAAATCAATCAGAGACACGCATCTATTGCGCTGCTTTCGTGAACTTCTTCAGAGACGATTATTTGTTCAGCTACCAACATATATAAAAATGAATCAAGGCCAAACATAGTTCCGCTGCCCTCTTTGGGAAAAAATAATAAAGTAAACTCCCTTCAACATAGCATTTTTAAGCGTCCTTCTTCAACCACGTTTGTTTTTACTATCTTGTCTCTGATGGATGAACTGAGCACCACTTCGATCCGGTAGACTCTATAAAGGCTAAGGGAATACAAAATTTGTAAATGACAAACTGGTCCCGAAGGCAAAAATTGCAAATCAAAAATATTTCTACAATCAACAAATTTGCCCGATATTTCAGGTTGCAAAACAAACCTTCCTCGGGGGCTAAAAGAGAAATAAAGAGAACTGTAAGGGTCGTTATAAATCGAAGTTGAAATTCTAAATAACCAAGGCTCTCTGCTATTTTCTTGGCCTCGTCAATTTAGCTCTTTTACGACAGCGAAATATTTTTATATGTATTTTTTCTTTTTTTGTGTGTTTTTTTGTTTTTGGCATTTTCTCTTTCGTACTTCCTTTTTTTTTTCTTTTATTTTTTCTCCCACTTCCCGCCCTTTAAACGAACTTCCAACTCCCGTTCTTTCCTCTCCTCCTACCGGAAAACCTCCTACCCCTACTCTCTAGGGATTCTACCCCCATCTCTTAGTGGGTTAGGAAAAAATTATCTTACTTAGCCGCAAGATCACAGTTTTCATGGCATTTCTGTGATTTTAACACATCAGCACTATCCGAGTGCCACCGGTTTTGAATGACTTTGAAAATAGGCCATTTCCAAGTTCTAAAAATTCGCACTTTCAAAACGAGGCCAAGTACAAAACCTTTCCTGTAAAAATGAGTTTTGTTTGCATGAGAATAAAAATCGGTTTCCTATCAATGACTCCACACTTAGCCTCTCTTTGAAACAGAGGCTTATGCCAAATCGGAAATGGTCTATTAAAAAGAAAAAAACCGGGTCATCATGTGACAGGGGAGAAGGAGTGCGTCAGAACAAGTTTCAACTGTGGCTGCCATTTGTTTGGTCACAACGCAATTTACTGTGTCCCTGTCAGGTTTATATTTATTGGTTCGAGTATCAATCTCTCACGAAAACCAAGTGATCAATCGCTTTAATGAAAATCTTTCAAAGCCAAAAGTCAAAACATAACTGGTAGTGAACTTTTCAATTTCATCATTTGACAGTGCAATTCCGACATTTTCTTGTCGACAAATTCTGGTAAGAGATAGTAAACCAACGGTGAAGCACTGCATTGACTTAAAATCAATTTTGAAAAGTAGTCAAGCCTGCTACTCCCACACTGCTGCGAAAAGTTTCGAAAAAAATACTTCTTTCTTGCAGCAAGATTTTCCGTGTGCAAACGTGCGTTTTATTCGCTCTACTTTCCCTGTGAAAATAGAAATATAGATACTGCCATTTGTTAACCAAAACGTTTGTGGCGTTTTTTGACGAATTGGCCTCAACCATGCCGTGAGGAACTAGGCAAAAAGCTTTTTAGCAACGCTGTATTGAAATAACGTACAACCTTTACATAATTACACGTCGGCGCCTTTTCTCTTTTGGGGTTTAGGTCGTTTAAAGAAGCGTCTTTTCAAATAAACATTTCCTATTTTTTTTATTTTGAGTTTTTGTTAGTGCTTTATTGTTTAAAAATTAAAAGTGTATGCCGCCTGTATGAAACATCCGATTTTGCCTTTCATCGTGACATATTATGATGACCCGCAAGCCTTGGATACGTGTACGACGGTCATCTGAATTGACCGATTGCGCAATATAAAACAAAGGAAGTGTTGACAACATAGTGCAGGACCGAAGGTCGGAAACCAGGAGAAACCCCTGGAACTTATTACTCGCACGTCATCTCGCTAATTCATATGACATTTCATTCCGACAGGAGCAATTAACACAATCAAAATATGCTTTTGTCCCCAAACGATAACCGGAACCTCCGTAAATACATCTTCGATTCTATTTTAAAAATTTTCAAAGAGAGCAACTTCAGAACACTCGGCCACTTTACCTAAATTTATTTAAATTGTGCGGGCCGCGCCGAAACGTTTCTTTGTAACTACCACGTAAAACCAAAGTTTCCAGGTGATTAAAAGCAAAAGGACGCGCGAGGAGAACGCGAGACCAAAAAAATATTGTTTTCGAAATGTAACCGCATTAGCAGAGATTCTCCGCGAACGGATCGCAACAGTATTGTTCTAAATAAATATCAAAAAGAAAAAGAAAAGCCTTCTTCCGAATAAACGGTTACGTACTGTGCTTTCCAGTTTCTAGGGCGTACTAAAAGTGCCGGAAATGGGAATTTTGCCACGCGTGTTTTATTTGTAACGAGAAAACAAATCTTTTACTAATAAATGCCGAAAAATATAACTGGCGGAGGGTCTCCTACAAGAAAATCTCCTATTAAAAAACACTAGAAGACACACATATAGCTTTTGTAGCTTGTAAACCCCTTAATTTTCCACTTGGTACGCAAGTGATTTCATAATACCTTGGTGTCTAACTCACAGAATCACGGGCGCGCCACCTAGTGTTTCTGTTGCTTTAAAAATCGCACTTAGGAGTTTAGAACACCATGGCATTACAATAAAACTCGCTTACTCAAGCTAAGCTAAAACATATTAACCTTTAAATTTCCACTTGGTACGCAAGTGATTTCATAATGCCAAGGTGTCTAAACTCACAGAATCACGGGCGTGCCACCTAGTGTTTCTGTTGCTTTAAAAATCGCACTTAGGAGTTTGGAACACCATGGAATTACAATAAAACTCGCTTACTCACGCTAAATCGTATTAGCCTTTAAATTTCCACTTGGAGCGCAAGTGATTTCATAATGCCGTGGTGTCTAAACTCACAGAATCACGGGCGTGCCACCTAGTGTTTCTGTTGCTTTAAAAATCGCACTTAGGAGTTTAGAACACCATGGCATAACAATAAAACTCGCTTACTCAAGCTAAATCTTATTAACCTTTAAATTTCCACTTGGTACGCAAGTGATTTCATAATACCGTGGTGTCTAACTCACAGAATCACGGGCGTGCCACCTAGTGTTTCTGTTGCATGATAAAACTCGCACTTAGGAGTTTAGAACACCATGGCATTACAATAAAACTCGCTTACTCAAGCTTAAACATACTAAACTTTAAATTTCCACTTCGTGCACAAGTGATTTCATAATGCCGTGGTGTCTAAACTCACAGAATCACGGGCGCGCCACCTAGTGTTTCTGTTGCTTTAAAAACCGCACTTAGGAGTTTAGAACACCATGGCATTACAATAAAACTCGCCGCACGCCTTGTCTTTTTTTAAAAAAAATAGTCACCCTTGAAACATGTTAACAATGATTTCCACTCTCATACCTAATTTTCTAAAATCCTGCAATACATAGCTTTTTCTTGAATGAATAAAGAGTTAAATAGCGGAAGAGGAGAGACTTGGTAATTTTTGGCGGGCTTTGGACACGTTTTGGCGGGATGACAATTTCACTATTCGACCGAATCCATTTGATCGCTTGGTCTCTGTGTTTTCTGCCACTACTATGACATCTTCATCTACTAACAATAGTATTCCGCAACTCGTCGTCAATAAATAACGGAAATTTTTTATGTAGCCCGTTTGCACACGCTTTACATCATTAGCAGTAGATCATGCATAATAGTCACCAAACAAATGCAGTCGGATTAGAAGATCTAACGTTTTCAACATCAAAATACCTACCAGACTGCCGATGAATATTACCACTTACACGTTTGTCGTGATATCGTTAGGCTCAGAAACATTTTGAAGGCATAGGAAGACCGTCTTCTTCTCGTAACGTCATAAATCGAAAGACACACACACCGTCCTTTACGTTCATCTCAAGAATGCAATGCCGGCTTTACATGTATTCGATCAGAGGTCAAATCATAATGTCACACTACTTCCATATAAAGAAAAAGTCAATTATTATTTCCATTGTTTTGGTTAAATTTTTAACTATAGTGCGTTGAATGTACAAGATTCCATACGAGAGATGCCATAAAAATACGAACACAACGCACCAGTGCGTGCGTGACACGCGATTCACTGCGGAAACTGCAGTTTAGCAAGCTCACGCCAAAGAAATTCGTTGAATCTGCCCACACAAAGCCTCGGAGATCAATGATTGCAATCTGCTTTGGCATCCATCTTTCCTTTACGATGAGTAGTATGCTGCGTGTTCAAGGAGTGCGGGTTTTACATAATAAAGATTTTGAATCAACGCTTTTATCTAGCAACATTCGCCCGATTCTATTTGAGTTCTGAGACCTTCAATACGTACA